GGTGCTGCATGGAGGGTAGACTGATAATAATTGCTTCCTAAATAAAGATACCGTATTTTACTTCGATCTTTTTACCTCCTGTTCTGTTCATAGTAAGGCAAGCTTTATGTAACATCCAATAACATCTTTGACCAACTGAAGTTATTTTGTTACTTTTTTGCCTTCTGTTTTTAATTTTCATTGTCATCTTGGTAGAAATTGCACAGTGCTGAGGAGGACTCACATGAAGTAAGAGACAAAATTTCCATTAACTCCTTTGAAGCCAGATTTTTACCTACTTGGCCTAGCATTCACTGACAGTCTGGCACTGAAACACCCCTCTTATCCCTTTGATGCCCATGTTCTTCTTCCATTAGCATAATTAATGCAAATGGATGTGACATCAAGATCTAAAAGGCAAGACACAATTTAGCAGCAAAATTCTAGGGAGTTTCTAATGTAACTCTATTTCCCACATAGCTGTAGAGCAATACAGGGGCACGATCCAACATCCTTTGGAAATAAAGGAAAATCTCCAGTAAATTCCAGACTTTGGACCATGCCCTGTAAAATTATTAATATTATTAGTTTTAGGTATCTGTGTGGAGACAGAGTAGAGAAAGAAAAGCAGAGTGCTAATATCTGTACTAAAGAATGAATAAGCACAAGCCCACAGCACTGTCAGGTCATCACAACCTCCATGCAGTTTCTGTAGAAAGGTGCAGGTCAGTTTTCAGTGCCTTGGTGCAAAAGGAAGCATATGGCCCCAGGAACAGACAGAAAAACATTCATGACACTTTAAGTGCAGTTAATTATCTGTAGGTGAATCATACAGCTATCAGCATTGTCTTGCTGCATTTGAAACTGAAACAGTAATAGCAGCAGTGACTTCTTTCAGCATCATTGCAGTTCAGTTACCTGACTACAAATAGGAGAAGAGAAGCACAGAGCACTTCCTCCCCACTGGGGCTGCCTTTCCATCATAGCCAAGGGGAGGCAGCTCTGGCAGCATGCTGTGCAGCCACTCTGTTGGTATGCAGCTCCTCCAGGTTTCATCCACTCACATTTTGTTTTTCCACCTCCTACCTTTCCCCTTTAAATACATTAAGCATTCACAAAAAGAAAGGGAGTATTATATATGTGGAAAGATTTCACAAGGTAGGTAGCACCATTCTCACTTTACAGATGGTACAACTGAAGAAAATGAATGTGTGCTCACTGCACATATCTTCAAGGGAGCAAGGGAAATAATGTGATTTCCTGTGACCTTTGTGGGGTTCACATCTATCACCAGAGCATGTGAGAGAACAAAACCTGCTGCTCCTAAGCGATGGTATTTACTTTTCCAAGAGAAGAGGCAGGAAGCAAGAAGGCTTGAGGAAGAAATATGCAACTTCCAGTCACCAAGAAGAACTGGTGACTAAAGGGACTAAAGCAGAGATTATTTCTTTCTTAAGTGTCATGAAGGGAAGAGAAGATCTTGTAACTGAAAATCTGAGCACTTTTTCTATTATTCACTATTGTCTATGGAGATCCACTTGCCTGGTTTGCTCATGTTTAGCAGCAAGATAGCCAGTACTAAGAGGGCAACCTGTATCTTTACCATTTTTCCTACCTCTTTTCACACTTTTCTCTCATAATTTATCTAGCAAGTCTAACAGTGAAAATGGTAAATCTGGCTATGAATTCATCCACTATACATAGGTATAACTGTCCAGCAAACAGCCCTTAACCTTGACACAGAAGAATACATGGTAAATTTATGGACCTTTTAGAGCAGTGAAAAATTTTCTACTACAAAAGTTACCAAAGCAAGGAAACAAAAGCCTATCATTATGAGAAAATGATTAATCTGGACACAAGTATGAATATGGTATTGAAGTCCATCTGCCATAGCAGACAACACATACTGGTGTAGCCCATGACTGCAGCCAAGTGCTGTTGTCTGCTGGGGCAATCCAGGAAGATACTGCAACATGTGCCCATGTGTCTGGGCAACAACACCTAGCAATGCAAATATCAAGGGTTGCATCTGTTGCCTCTGAAATCTGCAGTATTAGCAGCTTTTTAAAACTGTTGGATACCTTAGACACTCTCTTGAGTTCTGGACTGGAGATACATCCAAAATGTCCTCCAATTAATGCCTTGGCCAGTTTTGTAGTATTCATACTCAGCAGGCTAACTAAATTCCAGGAAAGGAAAAGTATCCTCAATTAAGGATTTTTTTCAATTGACTTAGACCACATTTTTTCTTTATGATAAATTGTCATTGAAAGCAATGGGGTTATTTTTTTGAATAACGATTATTAGGAAGAAAGGAAAAAGCCAGCTTTCATTATCCACTCATGGAAAGGATAAGTTTGGGTAAGACAGACTCAAGAATACTCTAAACATCTCTCATCATCCTCTCTCAAGAAAGATTAATTTGGCCAGAAGGACCAGAGAAATCCTTTAAACATGACATGGAAGATGGAGAGCTTTACTACAGAAAGACGGAAGAAGAGACTCTGAGCTCAATTCTGACAGCATGGAAGCCAAGGAGGATTTGCGCCTTTTCCTGCAAGACCTGATCAGAATTTCACCCATTCAGCCTCACAAAAACATACCAGGACGTTTCACAAAACTGACTTCAAAGCACTTATCTGGAATGTTGGAAATCTGAATTTCGTTTTTTTAACCTCTGATGCACCCTGGAAGATGTGTCAGGCACCTCCTCAGAGTTGAGTTCTACGAGGTAGCAATGCTGATTTTCTCCTGTGGAGCTAGCTTCCATACTATTGTAGAATGAGATGTTTTCAGCTAGTATGTATAGAAGAAATCCAGTAACAGGCAATCTTCAGCTTTTTATGGATTATGCATTAATTTTACCATACAGAGCTATACAGAGTTAGCTCTGTAACCACTCAGCTTTCCTTAGCTGAAGCACACTTCAAGGAAATACATCCATTCTGTCTGCAAATGTGATTTGAAGAGCAGTTCAGTCACTTCTGTAACATGTGCAATCCAAACTTATGAACCATCAGGCAGAAATTAGTTTCCCAAGTAACCTGATATGGCAGCTCTGTTGTCTGCTTCTAGAAATGGAAATGCTAGGCTGTAAAAATTAAAACTGCACAATGCAAGACTATCAGTTACGTCTGTACTGGTAAGTTGTAGAATGTCAATGCTAAGCAGAACTTCATCATTTAAATACTGTTAGAATGACCTTGGTATACCTTTTACAGAAGCCAGTTAGCACTCCTCCAAGCCACGATCTTGACACAGGCTAAGAGCAGTCAGTTAGCATGCACCAAAAAGTGTTTTGCAGGCTAAGAGGATTTAATTTTGTCAGTGTAGGCTGATCAAACCAGAAAAAGCCTTGGCACTGTACACAACACATTAACTCCAGCTCAGTTTTTATTTTGCCAGACATTAGATTACTGCACACAGCCACTGCTTCTCCAGCATGCTCTAAAATAGGGTTTATTAGCACAAGAGCAGTGCTGAACGTGCCACTGGACCTTTCTTTCTGAAGTCTTGTGCCCAAAGTCCATAGGAACAATCTGTTGGCTCTCAACAGACACACCAAATTTGGCAGGGTCTACACTGGGCCAAAGCTAAAAAGAGACCAGTTGTGAACAAGCTGTTTCCATACAGAACTCTCTGCCCTGCTCTCCTCAGCATCTGTGCCAAAAGCATGTCTTATTAGCTCATTCACAGTGCAGGACCCGATCCCTGTGTGTGCTGGTACTAGTCTTAGAAGCTTCCTGCTGCCCAGGGCACCAGTGATTGCTTTGAAATACCTTAGTGATTCTGGAGTCAGCCCTGGTTCACCAGTTTCAGTGCTGAAACATATTTAGCAGCAGTTCTGAACAGATGATGCTTTTGACCTGGTAAATCAAACAGATTAACATAAAATATGAATAGACTTTGAGTGCTTACATAGATGTGTATTTGTATATACATATATATGAAGATTTACAGCTCATATATATAAAATTAAATATTAGTTGTACGATAAAATAATAAAAATCCTTTTAAGTTATAAAAAGAACTGAACAACTTAAATACCCACCTCATACAGAACAAAAACATTTTGTGACTTCCAGCATAAATTTGACAGCAGAAATGAAATTGCACAATAGAATTTCAGACCACAATCTGGTCTGGTATTTCATTCTCCAGAATTCTAACAAATACAATATGTATATTACAATCCTCTTCACTTATGTAATTCTTACCAGTCTTTTTTGCAGTCAGAGGAACACTATTCTGGTATGTGCTTGATATAGTTAGGCCGATTCCAACGTATTTATACTATCACTATGTTATTGATGCACCACAAGTGAAGTACAGAAACATACCGCATGTTTGTCTACAGTAATAACATGTCGTTAAAAAAACGGAGCACTGCAATTTCTAAATAATTTTGTTGTTATTGTTAAAGAGGAGTGGGTAAAAAAAGCCACAGAAAGCAATTCCCCCAAGATCCAACACCCTGTTTGATAAGTGTCACACAAACACCCCTGCAGAACAGTCACACATCTTGTCTGAACCCCAGTTTAGTGCTCATTTTCATGACGTATTGTGTAAGTGTTCCTGCTGTTTATGATGATCTTGTCCTCTGCTTCCTCAGAACAGAACAATCATTAAAAAAGAAAAAAGAAACTTTGCTCCTTGGAAGACAGTAGGGACTACGGTTTATGATGAATCCATTTAGCTGAGCAGCATTATCCTTGAAGAAGAAAACAGTTCTGTAACTCAGTCTATTTGGTTGCATTTTTTTGTTTCCCTTGGGTTTTGAAAGTCATTTGCTGCAACAACACACAGAGACAGGAGAAACACAGTTAACTCAGCCACTCTTCATGGTACTCTGCTTCTGCTTGGTGTCTCTGTCATATACTCTATTTACTTCTTGGGTTCAAAGTTTTCCTCTCTTTAATTTTCATTTACTTATTTATCTTTGAATCATGCATCACTTGGCTCACTCCTTGCACCTCCACAGCTTTTGTTGTTTTCAGTCTTTAATGATGATCTTTTAGTTAAGAGCTCACCAAAGTGTAGATCATGCTGAGTGAAAAGAAAGACACAATATGAAAGTATCCTTTTGAAACATAAAGAGCACTTTGATTTTTATAACCCTTTGCTGTCTGTTCCTCAAGGTCTGACTGTAATGGCCAATGCCTTCCTTTGCATTCTCTCTGTCTCTCTAAAGTATCTTAATTATGGTGGATTCAAGATGGGTATCAAAAAGAACTCAAGAAATAGCAAATTCATTAGTGATATCTTACTGTACCACAAGCTGTGTTTGAGCTTATTAAAATGTGCTATGATGTTTGAATTTGAACAGTGAAGAAACAAAACCATTTAGCTTTCAGACATTTGATATTTACAACTTCAACCAGCAACTCTCAGTGTGGCAGGCAAGGTTTACCATGAAACTACGTTTTCTTTCCTTCGGAGAAAAGTCCATATAGTAGAAGAAATAAAATGCAGACAACCAGCTAGCACAAATCCATACATATTAAGTACAACACTAAAAAATGAGGAAATTGCAGTATATTACCACAGCCCCATTTTACTGCAATTCTAGCTCTTGCAATACCCAGGAACGCACAGCAAAAGTGGATATAGTACTGTTTTATTAAGGACCAGGCAGCAGTCCTTGGCTTATGGCCACATTTTAGAATGAAGGAAAGCAGGGCTCAGCACAACAGTTTAGTTCCAGCAGAAATACTCAGACAAATGCTTAATATTCTACATGTAATGAAGCATCCACAGATTTAAGCACACGCTGCTGATGCTTCCCTGAATCAAGATCAGAAGCAGTTTTGTAAGGCTTAGGAAGCATGCGCATTTGTTCCAGCCATTCCTAAGTGCAATTTCACACGTTAAATGAAAAGCAGCTACTATTCCCTCTATATAAAATTACCAGACTTACCAGTAAAGATAGTAGAAGAAAGAAAGGAGATAGAAAGCTAGCTTACACCAGGCCTCTTTTTGACAGTAACTCAAGGTATCAGCATTCATGACTGCAGGTGGATCGTAAGCGAGTTCTGAACTATCTGCTGGGCAACGAAAATACCTGAAAGAGAAGGAGAACTCAAGAACAACTGTAACATGCTGTATTAGATATGTGCTGACACATACTGTCCCGACCATCACCTCAAAAGAAAACAGTCTTCCATCGTATAGGAGAAATTTACCTCTCTTTATCAAGCCTCACTTCCTGGACATGGTTAAGTCAGAATGCTAGTCTAGATATATTGCAGAACCAAGCAATTCATGGTTGTGAAATTTCTGTGCTCTGTTAAATCGTTAGACTGCAACATTCCCCCTGCCTATCCAGTTCTTTCTGGCTTACTCGCTAATAACTTGTATGCTGTGTGTTACAATACGTGGTCTGTGATCACAGCATGGAAGAAGAATTACTGGGCTTTAACTGCATCCACACAACTAATTTCAGATATGATGAGAGGTGACAGTCTCAACCAGTTGACAGCTCAGCTTCCTCTGCACTGAAAAGGAAAAATTCAATATGGTGTAACAAAAGAGTTGGCTGACTAGTGTTTTCTACACATAGCACTGCTCAGAAATTTATTATCTAAATGATTTTTATCAGAAAATATTTTTCTTACGTGGGAGAAATTTCTTATTATTTTCACCAGTGTCTGGATATTTGAAAAAACTATGATGAAAGATGTTTTTAGCAAAGGAACCTTAGCCTCAGTTACTTTGCAGCTTCACTGGAATGATAACATGCAATTATCTTCCCATGGTTTTACGCAGAAATTTTTACAATGAACCCAAGAGCAACAAATGATATGAGTAATTATGACAATACCTACGGAGAATCACAGAAACATATCTTAAGTTTGGCATCATTATTTCAAGTATGACCATTTCCACTTTGTATTTTTTTCTACTTTTCACACTTGAGTCGTTATCCTTTGAAAGACAGCATCGTAAAACACCATGATCTTTATTACACCCAACAAAAGAGCGCTCATAACTTCATCTTATTAAACTTTCTGAGAACTATGCTGTCACTCTAACTTCTGGATAATATAAATCTACCACAAGATGCTGCATTATTACCAAGTTTCACAGAAAATAGAGTTTAAAAGCTACTATTTTTTAATTTGTAGCTGAGGCACTAGCAGTCCCTTCTTTACAGAGTTGTTCTTCAAGCTACTTCACAACAGAAGCTCCCTGCTACCATATCTATCTCTGTAACACAGAAAGAACCTGACAAAAATTGCCTATGCTTTTCCAAATACAGTGGGAATGCAAAACTAGTGAAAGACTGCAGACTGACAGACAGAAAAAATGAATGCCTCCTGCCTATCTTCAGAGGTGCCAGATCCTCTACTAGAATTCAGTGGAAGCTGTATTGCCAGCAGCTTCAGTCCAGAAAACATTAAAGCTGCTCCACAGCAGCTCCCACACAGCCTACTAAGGAAGACCTTGGGTGAGCACAAACATGTAGCAGAGACCCAAAGCTGAAGACAGCTGGAGAATCCAGCTGCTTGGGGAGATGAGGGAGTCACCATCCAAGGAGGTGTTTGAGAACCATGGAGATGTGGCACTGAGGGATGTGATATGTGGCAAGGTGGGGGTGGGTTGGTGGTTGGACACAATAACCTTAGTGGTCTTTTCCAACCTTAATGATTCTGTGATATTAACTCCCTGACAGCTCCCAGCCTGTACAGCTCTTAGTGCTCCATCTTCAGACTGCAGGCCACTTCAAGTTCTCATGTGTGAATGATTCCATCTCGCACTTGCAATATTCAAAGTGGTTATTTAAATGTGGCTACCTAAATTAGGCTATTTGAAGCCACTTTTATGTATTATAGGTTTTCTTTCCCCAACCTAAACATTATAATATACTTTTTCTCTCCAAACTTGTGTCTTAGCTGCCTTTAGGCCTTTTTCCTGTTGCTGAGCTTCATGCTTCATACAATCTGCATGGCTGATAAGTTGGCACATATGGCTAACAAGCAGTCAGAATATAAAAGATGGGCTTACCTCCAGAAGTGATAAAAAAGCAGAGGAACATTTAAGCCCAGTGTGAGCCATTCCTGAGCACATAAAAACATTATGCAGAAAAGGCTATGGATGGAGTACTCCGGCAACACCAGCTGAAAGGAACAGAAATAACAGATCAGTAAAATATCCCTGTGACTTCCATCACTGATTTTGCAGAAGGCAAACCTGCATCAATCCCCAGACATACCTCAAGAGAGGGACAACAGAGGGCAATGAGCACAAGGCATGAAGCCATCCTGGTTCTGATCCTGGCTGTACACTGTGAGCTTTTTTGTAAGTTACATTCATCCTAAAGGTATCAAATCCATTACTAAGTTAGCTTTTTGAGCTAAAACCCACTGAAAAAGAAAAGTTACACCCCTGGTAAATCCATGGCTTCTCACGATGCTTACTGCAGACCAATTGCAGATCCTTTCTATTAAAAGAGTGAGTGGGCAGCTGGCAGAAACAGAAGTTTATGTGATGTTGATTCAGACTGATTACTTCTAAAGGCTCTTTTTCACCCCCCTTTCTTAGCTGGTCTTTGCTTGTTTTCTTATGCCTTTTCTCAGAAATTCAATTCTTATCTTTATTCAAGCAATAAAAGAATTTTATTCCAGTATCTTCTATTCCTCAAAGCCAGACAATCCCACACACAGTTCATATGTATCTCTTGCTGTGTCTCCAAATCACATCAAAATTAAAAAACAAAAAAAAACAAAAAAAACACCCCCCTCCCCTCCCCAAAAAAAAACAACAAAAAAACATTTGAGGGACTTCTTTTGATGTCAGTTCATCTTCATCAGTCAAATAGTTCAAGTGATTCTTGTTTCTGCAAACAGTGAGAAGCCCACTGCAGCTACTCCCAACTTTTACCTACTCCTATACAGTTGTGCTGCAACAAATTCCATAGTTTAAGGACTTCTCCCACTTCACAAGGAACGTATTTTTTCACTTTCATGTCTCTAACTCTACGCAGTCAGTCTAAGCATCCTCAAAAGCTTATCTTATGTGGATGACAACTCATGGTACAATTGCATAGCACAGATTCCAGATGGCAGTTATTTATCACTGCTGGATTTTTTTTTCTTTTCATTTTTAGAATGTGATTTAGAACATGACTATAACCTTTACCAAGAAAATGATTCATCCTCACCATAAATTACAGACAAGGAAGGTCTTAATGATGAATGGCTTCCAACTAAGCATCACAGCACTTTCAAGTATATTACATTCATTATCACATATTTGATTTCAGCTTCTAACACAGTTCACAAAATGAGCAAAAACACAATGCTGTTGCTTGATCAGTGGGCTGGCTGGTAATAGCTGAGAAGGAAACCCAAGGTGGAAATTTATAAAGGAGATTTAAAAAAAAAAAACAATCATCTGTGAAACTAGAAAGGAAACACGGGAAGCAGTAGAGAGAACAGATTCTCCAGTCAGTTTCTAGTGTATACTAGATCTACCTCCGTTTTTAATAGAATAACAGATGGGTCACCTTATCTCTTCATTTTTTTTTGGAATAATATTTTTGCATCGGCATAAATAAATACAGGATCAATTCTGATCACAGTTTCCAAAGAGAATTTGTGGAAAGAAGCAAACAAACACCAGTCTGTAAACCAGTTGCAGTTAACATTCAAATGTTTTAGCCAAGCGACTAAATCTAAAAGTAAATGCGGGAAGTAAAAGCATAAGGGAGTAACAGCAAGGCTTGTGAGGAAAAGTAAACTAGAAAAACAGAATGCAACACTGCCTCTGTTCCTGCTGGAATAGTCACCTTGCAGTCCTCTGAAACCAATGGAGACTCCAATGCACTTCAGCAAATACAGGATTTGGTTCCTGGAGGGAAGAAAGCCAGTTCAGCAAGCAGCAACTGTCAATCCTTGTCATTGCTGCCGAGCTAGTCCATTGCAATGGTAACTTCTGATAGATGAGTGTTGTGATATAGGAGTTGTGCTAGGATCTTTAATTCTGGGACAGTGTATAAGGCTGTCAGATGGCAATCATTTTAGGATATAAACAGTATGCTTCTATTTTGAACCAGGAACACTCTGATTCAGATAATGAACTCTGCTTTCTGACACAACTCAAGATGAAGTCTGGGGACGGTTACAGAACACAGAGCTGGAGAAGCTGGCAAAGAAGCACAGCTCTTGAGAGCTGAAACGTGGTCACTTGGAATTCCAAACTAATGAACAGCATTGCAAATATACTATTAGAAATTCTGTTGGCTGATGTTTACCCATGGAAAACCACAAAAAAGCCTGAAAAGTAAACTGAAGTTTTTAGATCAATGTGATGCTAGTCAAAAACATCTCTTGCTATAATGTAAGCATAGGAAAGAAACTACTATACCTTCGTATGCATGCTCTGATATGTACATTTAATATATGTATCACCAAAAAATTCAAAATCTTTTTTTCACAAACCATTTGCATTTCAAACGTAAAATCTTTGCTAGATATCAAATCATTATCATCCCATAATAAATATTCAGTACACTCTCATACAAAGTAGTATACACATGCATACAGGTAGATAGTGTCATCCTTACAGTTCCAAAGCAAATAAGGCAGCCTTTGCTGTGTGTAGACAGCAAGTTTGGCTGAACTGAAGCATGGGAAAACATGCACTGAAGCTAACTAAGAACCCGACAGCAGCTTTTCTGCACTTATTGGACTACTTATTGGATTAATCAGTTTTCTCTTCCCTAATTGTGTTGTTATTCTTTTACAAACAACAATCCCATCTTTTCCTGTCAGTAGTCTTCCTCCTTTTTGTGCTTATTACACATTACTACCTTCTTCTCAAATGTAATTTCGCTCTTCCAGAACATTCTATTGTTTTTAAATGGAATGACTCTCACAGCTGGGCTCACCAGTGAATATGCACATGAAATACCTCTCTGAAACCCAAATTGGGAAGATAGAACAGACTGAATAGTGACCTCCCTTCATCAGTGCTATTAAATTCTCTTACTTAGAAAAAGTAATGTAACAAGTGAATCTAACTGTTTTCCAGTCACTATTAAGTCACTATAATGCCAAGAACTCACGCCTCTGTCAAATATCTTGTTTATGTCCAATACTCCTGAGTCCTAGACAGTAATAGTAATTCTTAAAAAATCACTGTTTTTCTCCCCCAAGAAGTCTCCTTGCACATACCCAGACCCCTTCCTTTGACCACGAATGTGCCACTTTACCCACAGGTAGGCAACCCAGACACAGCAGTGCTACATTAGCACAGCAGTTAACGCTGCTGCACCTGCTGCTGGCAAAGGATGGCTGCAGCTTGTTTCTAAGGTGCTCACTTTGCTGCTTTTTCCCTAAAGCCTTACTAAAGCTGACACACAGGGAAAGAGGAGAGGGAGACATAGCCATGGTGTTCAGGACACAAGAGTTATTTTAATTACACGTTGAAGTCCATCCTAGTAGAGCCTGCCAGAGCTAACCCAGCTTACTGAAGAGTATCAGCTGCTGAATTTAAGACATTATGAGCTCCTTTGGAGCTCACTATTTAGCATCTCCGAAATCCTGCTAATTGAACAATGAAAAAATCAGAAGTGTAGCATAAGGAAATGAAAAAGAAAGGACAAGCACACAGAAAAACTGCAGTAGCATTTCAATTTATTCAAAGTCATGTAATTCAAACTGCTACAAGCACTCAGCAGTTTGCTATGTTGCATTTAACTAGCTGAAAAGAAAATGGCTGGAAAATAAATTTCTGATCATATAAAGAACACCTGCAGTTGAACCTAACTAATTCACATCTATATCTTTACATTTTATCAAGGGACAGCAGTGTTGCATGTACACAATACTCAACGTTACAGATCAAATGCAGAGCACAAATTAAAAAGGATTTAACACCTGTGCTTTCAGCTCTCCCTTTTTCTGGACAGCTATGACATGAAGCAGGGCAAAACATACACGTCTGGAAAGGAAATGTCCTTAATTTTAATGCTCTACTGGAATTTGTTTAAACAGTATCAAGAGAATATGAGAGAATTCACTCCACAGCACAAGCAGCAGACAGGGAGACAGTAACACAAAGAACCTAATTATCATACTCACAAAGCACTCCACATCCATCTGCAACACAATACAGAAAATCAGGTACACTAATACTGGATCTACGCTCTCTTTCCATTTCGGGTACTGAACACACCTCTATTTAGGCCCATCATTTTAATACTCACTGTCTCATTTTTATCTTCTGTATCATAGAGGTAATTATATTTGAAGTCTAAGATTCTAATGGAGCCAGTTTATGACTGGCATATTTATACTTCGTTGTATTACAAATAATAACTTCAACAACAGTGACAGAGGAAGATCACGTCTTCATGGATCATTTATCAAGAATATCAATAAGATTTCTGTTCTGCAGAGCCTACAAGAGGTCATAAAATAATAATATTAATAAAAAGCTTCTCCACTGAGCGCAGCCTGCAGGGCATCAGCACTGTTCAAAAAGCACCTCATCCTTGGGTGGTACCTCATTAAGGCAGCAGTGCTGTGATCTTAGAAGCGATGATATCTTCACAACCTTCTTTATTTATTTATTTTCTAAATGTTAATTCAGAACCAGTAACAGAAGCTGAGTTTGCATCCCTGGAGCACAAACATCTAATTTTCCTCCACACTGATACGGAATAGGGTAACAAATGCCCTTTTGCCCTACCTCTCTCTTGTGTTTCAGACATAACCAGAGATGAGCAGAACTGGTACAGGTGATCCCTGTCCTGCTATTCTAACAGGTTTTTGGACACGTCAGCATTTGAATGCAAGGTAGGACATTTAACTCCCACCAGAAACCATTCCCATTCGTATAACGGATACGATGTGAAATAATTCCACTCTGTTTTTAGGGATTGTGTTGTTTTTTGTAATAGCATAGAGGCTGTGTAGGATCCAATCCTGACTTAAATCCACAATGAAAATTCTGCTAAACATAACAGCAACATTTGATTTAACCCCAGTTCCTTCAGTTTCATTAAAATGCAAATATATATTTTATTGCATACCAAATTAAAGCAAATACAGTCCATTAGCAAGTCAAATTTTGCCAATATCTTCAACACAGCTCTGAGGAGCAGATGCATAAA